ATAACAGTGGCCCTTTTCATGTGACCAAAAAATCTGCATGAGCATTCATTGCCTCGCCATTCTTTACACGACCAAAAAGCATACTGTTCCAAGAAGTTAAATTCCTCACATGCATTTTATTAAACAACAATCTTACGGTTGCCATGTCAAATTGATCACATAGATATCAAATTCCAACCGACCAATCAGAACCAAAGCATGAACCTTCTACCAATTTCACGAACCGAAAGATCACCACAAGTCTTAAAAATAAAAAAGTAGGTGAAATTATCAAGCTTTTGTCCAAAACTCAACATTTCCTGGTACAAAAAAGGAAAATTTGAAGAACATACATGACAAGTGATCATAAAATTCTATAAAAATAAACTATTTAAGATGATTTAGTCCAAGATTAGTTTGGTCTAAGGCATATAGCTGCAAGAAGCATAGCAAGCAGAGAGCTTAGTAGCAAGGTAGGTGTTGCGGAGGAATGAGTTTGGTTAGTGTTTGGAGCAAGGTTCCCCGTTGTAGAAAAGAGAGAGGGAATGGTAATAGCAGAGTGGTGGTGCAAGAAGGTTTGGAAACACGAGTTGTTGTCTTGGGTTTTAGAACTATATTGAGTCTCTTTCATAAATTATGAAGAAAAAAAATTAAAGTTTTTTTACTCAAAGAAAAAGAAAAGTTACGGGCAAATAATGAATAACGAAGTGATATACTTTTATCTAACTCAATTTTTAAATTTGTTATTTAACGTGTTAATATGTTATTATTAATAATAATATATAGCTGACTCAAAAGATTAAAATTACCAATATAGTTTAGGGTTAAAAATAAGAAATTAATGTTACATTTTAAAAAATTTTAAAACTAAAATGGATGATGTGAAAATTTTTGCCTCTCATAGATTGTCTCTAATTTTTTAAAAAAAATATATAAAAATAAAATAATTTTTTTTACAGAAAAAATAAAAAATTTTAGAAAAAAGAGATTTAGTCTTAAAAATAAAAATTTTGTATTATACAAGTTTATACCCAACAACAAGTTGAGCTTTAAACATGAAAAAGAAAAAACTCAATTTTTTTTAGCGTGTTATAAAAACTCTAATGAAAACGAATATAAGAGCGAAAAATAGATAAGGGAGATGATTACTCGTTTTCAAAAAAAGAGAAAAAAATTATTATGAAGGAGATTTGAGTTTTTTTTTTTAAAAAAGAAAAAAAAATTGCAGATAAAAGAGAGTAAAAAAAAAATTTCTAGAAGATTTTTAGTTTGGGAGCAATTTTTTTAGAAAAGTAATAAAATTTCAGAAATGAAATAACAAGAATTTAAAAAGAGACAACAAACTTGTAAGGCAGCGATAACAGATTTTTGAATAGAAAATTGACAAAACAGAAGAAGAAAGTATCATGTCATTCCTTATTTTATGTTTTGAAACTTGCTCTCATAGTGAATATGATACCAAAAAACTTGTTCTCAGAAATGAATCACCTCTTCCTATCTTCTTTTCATAATTAGCATTTAATATTATTTTATTTATATAATATATTAGATTTGACATAGCGAGTGCAAGGATCGAGTACAGGCACTGCCCTGCACCAATGCCCATCAAGGTATTCACGTAACTTTGTGTCCTTTATTTTTTTTTCGTGTTTTGCTGTATTTTTTTTGGCTTTATATTTTTTATTATTATTGTCTAAAATTTTATTCAAATTTTATAGTGTATTTTAAATAAAAATATTTTACTTTAATCTTCATATTTTTTTATTAAAACAAAGGTTAGTCCTTTTAGTCTATTTTATTTTATTTTATTGTATTCTTATTTATTTTTTTTCTAAACAATAAGAACTAAAATAGTTATAACTAGAGGTTAGTAACAATAATATTATATATATATATTTTTTAATCTTATTTTAACATTAACAATAAATTTTTCTCATTTTTTATATATTTTATTGTTCATGTATTAATTATCATGTTGGTTATTTATTCTTTAGGATTATCATCTTTTGTTTTATTTATTGTATAATTGTAAAATGTTAATATGATTTATTTTTTTATTTCATAAATAGTAAATTATTATTTTTTATAAAAATAAATAAATATATAATTATATCAATTTATAATACTAACATATAGTTTCTCTGTCTTCATGTATAATAAATTAATAAAGTTTACTTTTTTTTTATATAATATTATTTTATCATATTTAATTAATTAAATAATTAATTAAACACATTTCTTCTTTAATTACTAGCTTACTAATCAATTAACTAATTTAAATCTAAGTTAATTTATTAACAAAATAATTTATAATACTAATGTATAATGACTTTATTTTTATGCATTATAAATTGTCAAAACTTATGTGTACTAATGTTACTTTAAATTTTACACAACATCAATATATTGAAGCTTTTATTAGATTTCTAAAATTACTCATTATTATTATTATTATTATTATTATAATATTAAAATCTATCGTCTAGAATATTTTTATCATATTAATGCGATAATTTATAGTGTTATTATATAATGTCTCTACTTTTATACACTTTAAATCGTTAAAACTTTTGTATATTAATGTTACTTTAATATAAATTTATCAAATAAAATTATAATCTTTTACTAAGTAATTATTTTTTTAATCAATTCAAATATATTTATTCTTTTCATTAAATGAAATTAATTTTATATTTTAATTTTTTTAAATCATATTTCAAATTTTGATAAATTGAATAACCAATCATTACTAAGTGATTTACATTACCTTTGATTATCCAAAATTATAAGAGATTTATATATAGCTTATACTATCATAAATTTTCTTTCGACATCAATTATAATTTAAATATAAATTTAAATATTTTATTTGCAAATAATTTTTTTAACGATTTACAATATAGTTGTATGATTTTCCTTCACCTTCTACATTATTTCTCGTTAGATACATATATAACCGCCTTATCTTGTATCCTAAACATTTATAATCTTAAAAATTAATTTTAATCTTGAAATAAATTTTTTTTTACTAAACTTAATTTTAATCAACTAACTTCGTAATTTTTTAGATAGAACTACATAACTTTGAGTTTTCCATTGCACCAAAGGATACATAGGAGCAGAAACTAGACCCGTCGAATCAAAACAATTTTCAAAATAATTTTTTTCTTTGCTAAGATACCAAACAATATTTTAATAAATAATTTTTTTCTTCTAAAATAAAAATAAAAATAATTATTGTTTAGAGGTTAAATAAATATTTTTGATAATTAAAATAAATTTGTACAATTAATTTAAGGTAACCATTTTTAAACAGACGTTGTAGGATGCTTATACCTTCCTTACACGTAAATGACTACCAAACTTATTTTTTGTTTCAAAGATCATATTATTTTAAAAGTTTTTCTAAGATTTTCTTGAAATAAAATTTAGTGGTGACTTCTCTAATTTTGTAGAAAATATTTTTGTTTCTAAAAGATATTTTTTTTAAACACGTTTTCGACTTACCGTTGTGACCATTAAAGAATTAAAATCTAATAAACTTTTATAAATTAAAAATAATTTTTATATTTTTATATTTTTTTAAAACTCTTTTTTTTTTTAAATGTAAAAGATATTTTTAATTTGTGAAAAAAAATTATTTTTTATACTAATTTTTTTTGGTCAAGAGACAGTAATGAACGTTATTATAAGGAACCAATTTTCTGAACTTCATGCTAAAGGCAAAGGTTATTAGATGTTACTAATTTTGCCGAGTTAGGCACTGATAATTAAGGTGGGAAATGAAACTAACCTATCAGCAACAGGAATAAGATTATCAAATTAACCCTAATGAAAAAGAAAAACATCCATATGGCACACCTTTCTTTCTGTTGTTTGGTAGGTTGCTACTATTTCACCTTATGAAATTAAAAACAAAAATTTAGCAAAAACAGCAAGAAGCGAAAGGATGTTTAAGCAACATTGACGAAATTCCTTGTTGTTCTAAATAGAAGTGCCCTTTCCCCTTCTTTTGCTGGAAGATCACCTTTAATTTAGGAGTAGAAAGGGTGGTGGTGCTTCTCGCTGATATTGTAGGAATAAAAAAACTAGTGTTACTGGAAACTCAAAATCAAAATCAAAATCTACCTAAAAAGAATTGTACACCAGCTAAATTAAATTCAAAATATGAATGTAGAGAAAATCAACTATCATACTTAATAGGCTTTTGGATTTATTTTTTGGGTCAAATGAGTAGATAACCGGAAATAACAGCGTGATCAATTCAAAAATGAAATTACATAACAGCATGATTTCTGCAGACAGAACACAGACTTACATGATATGCAGCAGAAGTATCATTTCACGTTCCCCAAGTGCAAGTGCCAAGTGCAAAATTGCTATTCTAATTAAAAGGACTCAAGTCGCAAAATTAATAACAATTTCCTATGGAGATGCGGGGAATCGAACCCCGTGCCTCTCGCATGCGAAGCGAGCGCTCTACCATATGAGCTACATCCCCATTTTGAAAACATCTTTTAGTAATAGCAATAAATTGTGTAATCAAAACTTTGTTCAAGTCCAAACCATTGGTCAAGTTGAAACAGTTCTGCACCGGTTACTTTTGCGCTAGATAGAATTATCATTTAAAATTTTATTTGATTTTAAAAAACTGACATGGATATTATATAATACTATTGTATATAAAAGATTTGTTTTGGAAAGTTTATGAAAAACTTATGGAAACAAATTATGACTCACATGATTTATTTATATTTTAGTTTACTTCAACAAGTATTTTTATACAATTTATTAAAATAATACATTTTTAACTTGTCCCAATAAGTTCTATTACTAAATTTGTGTTATAATCGATTGTTTAAAACTAGCTTATTAATTAACTGATTAAATAAGTTGTACATTCAAATGTATACATATATAAAATAAATAGTAAATAATGAATAACATAAAAAAAACACTTCTCATAAACGATCGAATAGGATTTCTATTTGCTATATATTTATATTCTCTTGATTAGTTTAGAATAACATCCTTATTATATTATAAAAATGAAAATTTAGTATTTTACAGTAAAGATACTAGCAGTCTTTTCTACGCAGCTATTATACGTGGGTTATTTAAATGATCTACGGAGAAGACGAAAAGATAGATAAAGTAGAAGAAGAAGGGGTAACAGTAGAGGAAGCATCGGGTGAATTCCTGCATAAAGGGCACGAAGCGTTCATCTTGAGCCACTCATCTATGCATTGTGCATGAAAATAGTGGTTGCATTCAGGTATGGTCCTCAAAATCTCCTTGGGCTCGTATTCACCCAAGCATATTGGGCACGTGCTATCATTCGGATTCGGTAAGCGCCCACTGTCACCAATAAGAGTCTTGGGGAATTTTTCAATTTCCGGCCCATTAAGGCCCATTACGAATGAGGATGGTTGTAGGGTCATAATCGAACTCGGAAGCTCAGCGCTGGGCCTGGCCTGGTGACGATGTGTGTACATGTTGAACTTGCTACACACAAAGCAGCAAAGCCCAGTCAAACACAAGAGTCCAGGTATTCCCACTCCTATAGTCAACCCATATTTCGCACTTCTTGAAAGACCTGCGTGGAATTGCATAATCAGTAAGAAATCAAACCTTGTATTATACAATTGAAAAACCCTTTTCTTATCATACTTATTTTGTTGAAGGTATTTATCATTATTTAACACTTTTCAAAATTTTTCCTTAAAAAATTTCTTTTGAGGCAGAGGTGTTCACACTCCATGGAATAGAGGAAGGGAAACATTTTCCTTGAATTCTGTCTCGAGTTCATAAATTTGACTTAAATATTGACGCCGTACACGTTATTATGTTAGAATTCAATGTTCTTAAAACACATCAAGAAATTATAAATGTAGAAATCATAATTCACGAGGGATGATTCAATTAGTAATATGGAGTGAAACTGTAAAAAGAATTTAAGGTTTGATTTCTGTGGAAAAGGATGAAAGATTTATACCGTGCCTATAACTAATAGCATTGAAGAAAAGTCTTAACCTTGGCTTTCGTTGGGAGCAGCGAAGCATCGAACTTGAAGACTTGTATCACGGGTGAACCCACAAGCTTGGCCACGAGAAGCACAATTCCCACACGCGGGCTCCTTCCACTTCAACTCAATATCGTTGTTAAGATCAGGCAAGAAGAGTGGCGTGGCCGCGTTTGCGTTTGCGTTTGGAATGGGAACAAAAGTTGAGGATATTACATCGCACTCGTGCCAAGGTGATGAGTCACTAAGTGGCCACCACGAAAATATGACCGATGAGGAGTTCGAGGTTCTAGTGTTACCATCTCGGAGGCAAGAAATTGTTGGGAATGGATATGACTCGGTTATGTTGGAGGGACAACGAAGGAAAGTGAGGTCGTAAACGGTGGCGTCAAACGTGAATAATGGGGAGAGAGTAAGGCTCAAGTTGTGCAAAAAGCGTTCTGGGAGGCACCCATTGGGGTCGTTAACCTTAACCGTTTGGTCCTCGTAATTGATGCTTTTAACGACCAAATCCCCCGAACCATGGAGGTTAAGAATGGTTCGGCTAAGGTTGTCGCACGAAACTTGGAATCTGGGGTAGCTACACCGACCACTTTGATTGGCTCCTTTCAAACTAAAAGGAAACCGAATATCGATTTCACCGCATGACATGGTAGCGCAAGTGATTTCTCCTCTTGCGCCTTTGAGAGGGAAAAGAAAGAACGACAATAGACACAACTTCACCAAGGTTGCCATAAACTAATTTGAGGTGAAGTGTGAAGAGAGAGCTAGCTAGCCGAAAGTGTAAATAGAAGTGCCATGAGCTACATACTTTATTCTTGCATCGTGTTACAAGCTAAGAAATAAATGGAAACCAATGCTTTAATTTCTTTGGCAAACAGTCCTGTCCAGTAATTGACTATTAAGGAAAAGACGAAACCAATACGCGAAACATGCTCTTCAACCAACTGTTTTTCTCCACCGTGGGTTGAATACTAAATCATCTGGACCCTCTCTCTTTTTCCTCTTCAAATGCAAAACATGCAATCGAAGGATAAGGGTTCTCAAAAATCACACCCTTGTTCATTTTTCCTAATCAATAATCTCTTTTATTGAATTAAAAAAGGTAATATCTGAAAGGTGAACTGAGAATAATTGATTTTGTGTGGTTGGTAGGTTAAAATGGAAATAAGATGTAGTTTGTGGGACGTACACTCAAAATCAATTTTATTTAATAAAATGTTTAAAAAAAAAAGTTTACCAAACTATTCAAATCTACCACTGTACAAATACCTTTTCCATTACAAAAATTATTCAAACATGAATAGTGCATAGATTGATTTTGCCATTTTGGCACACCCTTACATGATTTTGAAGGTAACCAAAGGAGCAGTTGGCATAAAGCAACAACGAATATTGTGTGAAAATTTTAAAATTTAAATAAACAAGTTAAAAATATACCCCAAAAAAAAAAACGTACGTTATAAAATAATGATAAATTATTGTCTTAAAAAGTTAACTAATCATGCTTTATCGTAAAAAAAAAAGTATTTATCGAAGAAATAATAAAATAAAATATTAACTCCTATAATTGTTACACAAAAATAAATTAACAAGATAATATTTTTTTAAAAATTTGATTAGTAAACCACATAATAAATTATGCAAATTAATGATTAATGTAATCAACTAGTCACCAAGTGTATATATTTTTTTGATGACCCGAAGGGGCTAAAAGCCCAAAACAGAAAACAGGAGTTTTAAGTTTTAGTTAAAAGGAGTGTATAGATGAATTAAAAGGAGTGTCTTTCAACTTAATTAATAGTTTTAAGTTTTAGTTAAAAAAAATACATTTTGTTTGAAATTTGATAGAGAGAACTTTGACTCTAATCTAACTTAGCTTGAGTTTAAATCTCAATCAATCTCCCTCTCTATATATATGAGAGGTCAAAATTTAAATTTATGAACTATAAATTTACCTATTTAAACGCATTAATAACTGTATAAATTAGGTTTGACTGATTGCTTATACTCACATTTGAGCATATAAATTTAATATAATAATATTTGATCTTGGGCTCGATTATTCATTTAGAATTTTACGTAGGGTGGGCACTGCTTTCCTATATGGTTACATTCCACATTAATAAAATATAACCATAATGACAACTTTTATTCAAAATTCACTCACAATAACTTTTAAAATTTTTCCCAAATTTATTTTTTTAGAGTTTCTTTTTTCTATAAATTGAAACAAATACACCAAAAGATTTTAAAGATTATTTTTTTATGAGAATGCTGAAGCAAATATATTTGATTATTTGACTATTTTCAAATTTAATATTTTTTATATTTATAAAAAGAGATACATTTTTATTATTAATATCAAATATGACTAAACTAAGAAGATAATAATTTTAAGAAATATAACTAAATTACAAAAAATTAAAAGTCAGGAGTATAATAAAAATAAATAGTAAATAGTAAATACAAAAAAGTCGCATTACATAATAATCAAGGATATAACTATTAAAAATATGTATATTTAATATAATTCTAATAATATTTTCACTTAAAAATGGAGACTGATAATTAATATACACATATAAATTTATCAATTTAACGTTGAGTTGAAAAAAATAAAAACGATAGACTGACATTTGAGTAGTCGAACGTGCAAGAAACTGATTGGAATGTTCAATACTTGTATAGTTTCGCGTTTTAGAGACGCTGTCGTTGACCGAAAGCAACGGTCGTCTAGAGTAAAAGGCAAAAGAAATACGTTTCAAAACAGCTTTTTAAATCTGAAAACATAAAATGAATTTGAAATCATGACAAATATTACCTAAACTTCAATTCTTCTTTGTTTTGATAAACGGTTTTTTAACTTGAAGAATAAATTAGTGTAAAAATATCCGGGAGTGTATTTTGTATCAAAACCACTATTTTGTTGAAGAATAGCAAAAGTAATAATTTACTTTTTTTTTTAAGCATTTACATACCCATGTTAATAATCCTATTTTTATTAACTATTAAAAAAATTAACTAAAATCATTTCCCATATAAATATTTTTAAATGTAAACCAATTCCCTTAAACACACTTTTAACTAAAATAAATTTATAAAATATAACACGAACACACACTTATTATGTATGTACAAATAAAAAGTTTCTATTAACTCGAGAATAAATTATTTAGATAAATCATGGATTAAGGACCCAAAGCTTGTCCTTCCGCTACTATATGCCTGCAATGACAGGAGCCATTGATTTGCATCTTTGGTCGTTATGCAGTATATATATATATATATATAAATATTAATAATTGAATATACTACTTCTTGAAAATTGATTAGACAAGGATTGACTTTGATACATTGAAAGTCAGTTCGTCCGTAAAATCGAAAGGAAATGTTTATTTAATTATTTCTCCCGTGAAAGGTAAACAGTCACAACATTCACTCTCACTCATGAAGTTTGAATCACAAATATAATTTATAACGTCAAAATCGATTTACATTTCAGTAAATTTGACACACAAAACAAAATGCATTGCAAACTATCTTTTTTAGTGTCGGTAATTTAGTTTATGATATTTTTTAAAAATTTAATTAATTTTTGATTATATTTAATATTAATCTTCGTAATATTTTGTTCTAATATCCTAAATTAATGGATATTATTTCTCATTTTGATCGTCTACTTTTCTGTTTAGTGTCAAGGTAAGTAGTAATTGAGAGTTCAACCTTTCCTTCAATAAATATGCAATATTGGAATCCAAATTCTTGACTTAAGAGCAATTGTTAAAATGCAAAAAATATCAACAAATATAGACAAACTATTTGTTAGGTGTTTAAATTACATGGTAAGATGTTAAAATTTTATTATTATTACTGTTACCTAGGTGAAGAGATTTACACTTATGCATGTTTTGAATATTGTAGATAAAAATAGTTGCATGTATTTTTCATGAGTTGAGAATGTTGTTGGAGCAAAGAAAATTTTGAATATTAGTTCTGTCATTGAAAGTATAGTCTCTCAAGATAAAGATTGTAGGAAAAATGTAATGAATAGATGTTGGAATGTGCGAACAAAGTTCCATATATGGTAGATTTTCATTAATATGAGGCCTTTTGAATTGTGTCTAAAAAAAAATTACGAAAGCTTAGACTTAAAGTGAACAATATCATACTAATGTAAAGATATATTAAAAAAGTCCATACTTATTCTAACAAGAATATGTTATTTGTTGAAGTTCAGATTCAAAATTTAGATTGGTTATAATAGTTCAATATATTTTAATGTTTTATGTGATGGTTTTTGTGGTAATTATTTATTTTTAAAGTTGAAAATGCAAGCTACCTATTAAAGTTTGTTTATATTAAGCATGTTTAACTTGAAAAGTTGTATGGGCTACATTTGGTAGTTTGTTGTATTAATGAAAATAAGTTAGTAGTTATAATTATAGATTTATTTATATTTGTTTTATTTCAATTGAAATGTCTATAATATATTTCTTTTAATTACATTTATTTACACCTAGATACTTATTTCAAAATAAGAGTTTGCTAACAATATCTTCTATGTAATATATACTTATATCAAATAACAATTGAATAATTTGAATGCACTAAAAAAAGTAATAATTTAATTATAATAGTTTATTAAGTGAAGAAAAATAACAAAAGTAACTAAAGGTCACACCAAAAAAAGTCTTTGCTCAATTACAAAATATAAATAAGTAAGAAGGGAAGCTCTACCAATTACAACCAATTGTTCACAAAAAAATTAAAATAAAATTGCAATTACAACCAATAAATTAATTTATGAAACTAAAGTTTAGGGGTAAGCATTAATGTCATAGGTCTTTCTAAAATATTAACATTTTTATGTGGTGAGGATGAGGGTGGAATAAACAACACTTGAAGTGAGCTCTCTAGAATTATTATGTCTTGATTTTCAGCTTAAGTAAGGACATCTTAAATAGGTTGTGAATTGATTTCATCTAGTATAAGGTAGAACTGAAAGATGTTAATCTCTTCTTGGATTGGAATTGGCCCAATTGGATTAGAACTATGGTAGTTAATTAGGTCACTCTCATTAGTGATAGTGTGTTGTGCTTGAAATGTTTCACGTCTTTGTTTCTTTGTAATTGGATAAGATTGTTTATTATAATATAATTCTCCACAAATCAAGCATTTAAACTTAGATAATATCCTCTTCAACTTATTTGGATTATGTAGATTTACCTCCTGTTTTCCATCTCTTCTCCTTTGTTTCTTTATCCTATTAGCAGATTTCTTAATTTTGGATGGGATTGATGAAATTTGGTCCTTATACTCTCAAAATTCTTTTCTTTGAAGGGGTTAAATGTCATATTGATAAGTAGCTCTTTATAAAGTCATTATCAATTAACCATAATAATAGTCTTCTAATTTTTCATGATAGCAACGATAGAATGCATACAACGCATTCGTACTCAAATTTGAAACATGGGACAGATTAGCTATTAGGTAGATTTCATAAATTTATATAAATCTACAATTGTGAGTTGCCAAAATCTACAACTACAACAATGAGTTCCTAAAGTAATAGAGGCTCTAGTTGACCTACATTGGATCTTAAACCTATGGTCATTACTATCACTTGTATTTAGGACCAAAAAATAAATAGTAGAAGATAACTACCAAAATTCTACATTTTTAAATGTTTCTCACTTGACTAGATAATTGTCCACTTTTAACTTAGAACTTTTTTCTTTTCCAAACTGCTTTGTT